GAATCCTGGCGAGTACGTCGCGCATTACATGAAGGAGTGCCCTGAAATACTAAACCCTAAACCCTAAACCCTAAACCCTAAACCCTAAACCCTAAACCCTAAACCCTAAACGTCACATCCAAACCGGACATGATATGTATCGCGCAATGGGCCCCAACCGGCTCCGCTCTTGGTACACGGGGACGAAGGCCGAAAAGTAAAGAAGACCAAGTACCTGGTATGCTCGTCGAGAGCCCCCCTGCTCGGAAGTCACGAAAACATCCAAGAGGGGTTTTGGTTGACTGTTTATAGCTTGGGGTTCAGGGTTTGGGGTTTAGGACTGATTTTGGGGTTGAGGTACACGGCTTTCAGGACGTGCATGTAAACCAGGGTTCTGCACTTAGTAGGATCCTGGATGAGCCTAACCTTAAACCCTAAAGCCTAAACCTTAAACCCTAAAGCCTAAACCGTATCTGCACGAGGTTGAGGGCCACTTCTACGATGCAGTCGTTGAACCGAAAGCAAAGGGCCTGAAGAGTGGGAAAGACTTTGCTTGGAAGTTCATGGTACTCATTGACTCATTGACCAAGTATAGCTGCACTTACAACTGTACTTACAACCGTCTTGGGGCACTCAAGGGGCTTATAAGTGGGTTATAAGTACACGTATAATTGCTTAATAAGTACCAGGTACCATGAACCTCCAAGTCAGGATCAGTGACCAGGCGCCTGAGCTTGCGGTGCTTGACTCGACCTTTGACTACATGGGGTATTCCCCAAACGAGGGGCAAATAGGTTGGGGCTTCGGGTTTAGGGGCTTAGGGTTTAGGGTACCCCAGGTATACCCCAAACTAGACTAGAATCCCCTTAAATGACCCCCCCCCCCAAAAAAAAAAAAAAAAAAAAAAAACAAATTAAACAAAGAAAGGGTGCCCCTGAGGATTCTGAAATGGCAAATCCCTCCCGAGGCTGATATGGATGGCCGCGCACCCCTCGGTGTTCGCCGTGCTCATCATCGGGCGCCGATCCCTCTGGTAACGCCGTCGTGGGTTTTTTGAGGGTTGAGGGTTTAGGGTTTAGGGTTGAGGGGTTGAGGGTTTAGGGTTGAGGGTTTACGGTTGAAGGGTTGAAGGGTTGAGGGTTGAGGGTTTCGTGTTTAGGGTTTAGGGTTGAGGGGTTGAGGGGTTGAGGGTTTAGGGTTTAGGGCATAGGGCTGAAGGTTTTGGGGTTTAGGTTTGAGGGTTGAGGGTTAAAGGGTTTAGGTTTGATTGTTTGGGGCTGAGGCGGTGCATTTCTGGGACGATGGGCCTCCGTGATACTGTATAAGAACTTATATATGTATATATATATAGATATATGGAGAGAGAGAGAGAGAGAGTTACACGTTAAGGTTCTTCTTTATCCTTGGACATGTTTATCATGTTTATGGAGTTTGGGTCTGAAGGTTTAGGGCTTTACTGGTTAACACTCAACCCACAACCCACTGTAGTGTTTGGGGGTCGGGGCATGCATGGGGTTGTAAGGGAAATTTGGCCCTAATTAAGCCCCTGAACCGGTTTGGCCCGTATATTGCTTGGGGTTGAGTTGGAGAGTCCGCATTTCGTGCGTTGCACTTTACGCGTATATACTTAAAGGAGCCCCTACAAGGGTTTGGGGTCCATCCTGGTTTCCGCTAGTCCCCCAAAGGAAGGAATGAATGCTCTGAGCGGGTTTAGGGTTTAGGGTTTAGGGTTTAGGGTTTAGGTTTTAGGGTTTAGGGTTTTCTGTAGCGTTTATGGAAGGCCAGCTTGCCTCGGCTGTTCAGTGCATCGTAGAGGTTTGCGTATGAGCCCAAAACCCTGAACCCTAAACCCTCATTGGAGGTGTTGCTTCAGTGGTTGATTTTTTCAGGTCGGGGCACGAACATGAACATGTGGCATCCGTGAGGTTTTGGCTTCAGCATCGTAGCATCATCAAGTCTTCCGATAAGAGCCCAAATCTCAGAGTAGACGTCGAACAAATGTCACCCCTCAATGATCACGACCTTTCCACACTGAAACTTTTCCGACGCACTGCCAGAAGTACTCAAACCCAAGCCTTTCAACCGTGGGAACACCTGTGCTCACAGAGCTAGAGCTCTCCTCCTGCCAATCTGGTGACCGAGCGCCTGTGTCACCATGGACTTTGACGACCTGGACTGGGGCGCTAGGGTGTGTGCGCGTGTGCGTCCGGGATCTGCAGCTAGCGGTCTATTGGGTGTTGATGGGCCTGTTCGCTACAGAGTTACGTGATTTAGGGTTTGGTCTTTCGGCGCCAATTCAGTCATGGGACTCTACCTTGGAACCCTAACGTGGTACTCCTGGGCTTGGGGCCCTTTTCAAGATTCTTAAGGCAGGATAAGAGCCATATTCGGATTAGATTCAAGGAAACTTTTAGGGGTACAACCTTAGGGTTACGAGTCTTAACCCCTTGAAAACTCTAAACCCCACACCCTAAACCCTAAACCCCAAACCCGAAACCCTAAACCCTAAACCCCATTCAGGACAACGAGGAGGAAGTTGCCAAGCAGGTCCAGGATGAGAAGAAGGCTGCAGACAAGGCGCTCTCTCATGCCCAACACCTCATCTTAAAGTTTAGGGGTTTAGGGTTTAGGGTTTCATGCCCAGTCCCATCAAGGGCTTATGACTGAGGGTGGTGGGCCCCCAGTTTATCGCGGGGGGCTGAAAAATTCCCCGAGTACCTTAAATGCAACCCGAAGTATCATCAAGTAAGCCCTAGGAATTTCCTACAACCCCAAACCTCTGGCAGTTCCGGGTTTCGGGTTTAGGGTTTGTGGTAAGTTGTAGCCCCTAGGCCCTTAACCCCCCAACCCTGAGACCTAAACCTGTGCAACAGAAGCCCTTCAAACTCTCCGATTTTGCACAGTTTCCGAAATTATGCGGGGGGGGGGGGGGGGGGGGGCCTTATTCAGGTCTTGAATTCTCAGGGAATCCTACTAGTTAGGGGGTCTTTGTAAGGAATGGTTCGAGGGGAATCCTACTATTTGGGGGTCGAAATTTGGAACCTTACTTGGAGGTTCATGGTACTCATTGCCCAATTATAACTGCACTTATAACTGTACTTACAACCATATTATAGCACTTCAGGGGCTTATAAGTGGGTTGTAAGTACAGTTATAATTGGTTAATAAGTACCATGAACCTCCAAGCACTACGCCCTAAACCCTAAGCCCTAAGCCCTAAACCCTAAACACTAAACCCTAAACCCTAAACCCTAAACCCTAAACCCTAAACCCTAAACCCTAAACCCTAAACCCTAAACCCTAAACCCTAAACCCTAAACCCTAAACCCTAAACCCTGCCCCAATTTGGCTGCAGCTGCGATGATGGAGGCTGCAGCAGAAGCCGCCGCTGCCAAGCGTCGCGAGGTGCAACCTCCGCCTTGGAAGATGGTTTTCGGGTTTAGGGTTCCTAGGTTTAGGGTTTAGGGATTCGGGGTTTGGGGCTCAGGGTTTAGGGTTTAGGGTTTAGGGTTTAGGGTTTAGGGCTATAATCCCCAGAGCTGCTAGGGTTCAGGGTTTGGGGTGTAGGGTTCGGGTGTGGGGGTTTAGGGTTTAGGGTTTAGGGTTTAGGGTTTGGGGTTTAGGGTTTAGGGTTCAGGGTTTAGGGTTTAGGGGTTTAGGGGTTTAGGGGTTTAGGGGTTTAGGGGTTTAAGTTGTAGGGTGCAGGCGTTTAGGGTTTAGTTAGGGTCCATGGGTTAATGGTTTAGGGAAAAGCACTCCTGATAAAAGGATCCGAATGGTCTTAATGTAGAACCGGCCCATGGCTTATAAAAGCAGTTCCGGTGTAGGTTCTATAGGGCTAATTGCCAAGCCCTAACGGATGTGGGCATCCCGGGCCCGGCCTAGGCGACCCTCTGAAAGGTTGACACCAATTAGGTCCCAAAATTCTGCAAGGCCCTCAAATAGGGTTTTCCGAAAATGGGGGTACCCTTTGGGGGGGGTCCCCTCAAGGGAATTTATTATATTTGCGGTATAACAAGGGGCACCCCCCATTTTGGGAAATACCCTAATGCAGCATCCTACGACAACAATCAATGTCAGGCAGCCCTACATCCTAAACCAAAAGCCTAAACCGTGTAAGTCCTGACACGAGCCCCCAGTTATTTGGTCCTGCGTTGCTCAGGACGCAGAGCGCATCGCTGCCGAACGCAAGGAGGCTGCAAAAGAAGCGGCGCCCCCTGCGAAGGCGTCGCTTTCTACGTATATTGCTTGCTGTGCGAATATATGGTTTAGGGCAAAGGGTTTGGGGTTTGGGGTTTGGGGTTTGGGGTTTGGGGTTTGGGGTTTGGGGTTTGGGGTTTGGGGTTTGGGGTTTGGGGTTGGGGTTTGGGGTTTGGGGTTTGGGGTGGGGGGGCGTTTCGGGAGACGAAGGCCGACGTATCTACTACATGTTCAGATGGAAGATTCTGTTGATAACATGCGACGAGCGGAGGTGGAGTCTTCGAAGTTCAGGACTTACGGCTCATAGGCTCATAGGCCCATAGGGCATAGGTGTTAGTGTTGAGTGTTAGGGCTTCGCTGGGGATGCTTGGGGCTGCGGGTTGAGTCTTCAGATTTGGGTGCTGAGGGTTGTGTGTGCCTTGGGGTCTTTAAGGGTTCGGGGGCGGGCGCTTCGGAGAATGTTGGAGAGTCTGGGAATAGGATTCAGGGTCGTGGTTTCAGGGTTTGGCAGATTATGGTCTGGGCTTCAGGATTGAGGGTATGTAGGGTTGCATGCAGCTTGTCGCGTACTCCTGAATACTTCTATACGCGCTTTAGAGGGCTTGTGGGTTGCTGTGTGAAACTTAATCGGCTTTCCCCAGCTCAGCGGCCGACTTAGAGCAACTGTCGGTTCCGCCGCTGTTGTTTCATGGATCTTGCTGTCTTGCTTCACCAGAACCCGAATTACACCCCATGTTAATTGATTAACCTTTGCTGTGCCCGCAGCCCTCTTGGTTGCAGATTCGACCGAACCACGGGCATCTCCAGAAGAAGCGGTGGCCATGGCTGGTGTGATCAAGTTTTTGGGCCGGCGTGCAGCTGTGACAGATGCAGCCTTGGGGGCTGTTACGACAGTTCTGACTCAGAACATGCTCGCCCGCGTGTTCAAGAAAGGCGAGTGTGAAAAGGCCCATGCTTTCATGACTACGCCTGGAGCTCATGTGTTACCTGGTATGGCTGCAACACTCGATCAGCGTCACACCCGTGAGATCACAACTACAGATGCATTATCCAAGCATGGTCAGGTCCGCTGGATGCACACCTGGTGTGGAACGCGGGTCAGCCAGGCTCAAATGCAAACACTTGCAAGCAGGTACTCTGGCGTCGGTGAGGACAAGATCGAACATTTTCTCAAAACTATTGGAATGGCGCACCAACTCCCTGAGCACCTTCTCGCCGAGTTGATGCTGATTCCTCTGACTGGCAGTGGAATACAGTCAGCGCGCGAGTTCAGTCTCTCTCAGGGCACACTGCGTGGATACTTCCTGAAGTATTACATCTACAAGGATGATTCCCGCCGGTTCAGCATCAATATCGCTTCGGCTAAGCGTTCGGAAGAGTGGACGAACATATCAGACAAGTTCACCGTCACAAGTGTGCACACTTATTGTGGGTTTACTTGGAAGGCTAAAAAAGAGGAAATTCAGGTAGAAGGCCTTGTGCATTTGCCCAAGGAGCACCAAGATCATTTCGCCAGTGATCTTGAGCGAGAATCGATGTTGAAATTTGCAGCTGACTTTCCCAACCCAAAGTGACTGCGCGCTGTGTTGGCCAGTGGCCAGAGATGTCGAGATGTCGAGTTGCGCAGCATCTGCAGGCAGACAAGGTGCTGACAACTCAAATCTTGCGTCTTAAGAAGTGCAATCCAGTGTTGGGGCTGCCGGCTGCCGAGATTCCGCATGTACTGATAGCGGAAACAACAAAGGGGGCACCCCTCAGGCTTTAGTAGCTCCTGTGATGCTTCCCCAGCACCCTGGTACTTCGAACTTCGGGGTCCTGAAACCTACTAAGCCCTAAACCCTAAACCCTAAACCCGAAACCCTACACCCTATCTTGGACCGATGAGTTCCGAGGTTGGCAGCTGGTTTTCCCAAACGAGTACCGCGCTTTTCTGGTCAAATGGCGGAAAAGTTTCGAGTTGTCAGCATGTGGAGGCAGACGCTGCTGACAACTCCTTATGAGCTGCAACAGCAGTTCCGGTTGCCAGCAATCCAATCTCCGCGTTGTCAGAAGTAGTGATGTCTTCTGCTCTGATGCGCAGGCTCAATCATCACTATGGCGTGCCGGGATTGCATGTGCAGTGTGGGGCGGACATGCAATGCCAGTCTTTGCAGGTAGAGCTGGCAAAAGAAGTCTTTCCAGCATGCCACATTCTGAGCGCCTTTGTGCCTCCTAGTTTGCTCTCGGATCCACTTTGAATATGGGCTGAAAAACTGAAAACTTGATAGCACATGCATCCCTACGTTGGGCTATGCGGAGCGTCTGCGCGAGTTGGTTGCGCAGCCTTGGATCCAAACCCTAAGCCCAAAACCTTGTTCTTCCCTTTCTAGGCTCCATTGTAAACCCCTTTGAAACAAGACGTGTGCCCTGTTTGCCTTTTGGGAACTTGGGACCGAATAGTTTTTTGAAGGTGACGGGTCGATTTGTTGGCAGGGCTGCAAATCGCAGACCTGAAGGTATGTGGGTTTACAGCTTAGAGTTCCCCACTGAAGCCTCAGCCCTAAAGCCTGCAATGCAGGCCGCCGTTCCCAGCCCTGTTCCTCCGCCGGCCCCTGTTGAGGAGGAAGCCGCTTGAACACAATCGACTGAGTAAGCCCAAATACCTGCAAAAAAAGGGTTTTGGGTTTAGGGTATAGGGTATGAGGTTGAGGTTTAAGGTTTAGGGCTTAGGGTTTGAGTGCTTAAGTCATTGGGTAAACCTTTACATGCTTCTGAGGCAAAGGTCTGCTCGTCGGAAACATCCCTACGGTTGAAGATGCACATTCGGCTAGAGACCCCCCCAGCTCAAGAAGCTTAAATACCCCAAAACAACCCTGTAGCCCTAAAGCCCTTAGCGCCTTAAAGCCCTCAAGCCCCCAAACCAAACCCAATGCCCGAAAGCCCTGAAGGTTCCGCGCTTCATAACTTTCAGGATTTACGGGTTCGGAGTTGTCGGCCCGGCGTTGAAGGCAAATGCTACAGGAACATGCCGAGGCCCAGGAAGGGTGTAGGGTGCGGGGTGCAGGGTCTAGGGTTTGGGGTTCCCCTTCGTCTGGTGCTCTTGGACTGGCGCATGTTTGCAAAATGAGCAAGTTAGGTCAGCAACACCAGACGCCCCACCCCGTCGATCCTACGCAATTGCGACATGGTTTGTATCAAGGGACTACACGAGGGAGCCTTCTAAGGGACCTTAGGGTCATGTAGGGGCTACTTAGGTATATAGGGACTATATAAGGTATAGGGATATATATATATATAGTTATATAGGGAATCAGATTAAGGGCCCCTTCTACGGGTCCCTCTTTGTAAAAGCTTAGGTGTAGGGTGAGGGTTCTGCCGGCACTGTCAAGTCTTACTCCTAGCCTTACAGCAAAAGCAAGTCGCACCCGGTTCCTGTGAAAGTTCCCCTGTGGGACACCCACCCTCAATGCTATACCTTAAGCCCTAAACTAAACCCTAAATCCTAACCCTAAACACAAGCCCTAAACCCTAAACCCTGAACTCTGAACCCTTAACCTTATATAAACCCTAAACCCTAACCCGAGGAAGAACTTTGGGACGTCATCGGCGGAGCCGCTCGGCCCGACGGAAACGTTTCAGGTTCGCACTTCGGAGGTTCTCCCAAGGGAAAGGGTTGATAGGGTTCAGGGTTTATAGGTTGTGCGCTGTGCGTCCCCCCCCCCCCCCCATCCACATCCATGGCGTACGGTTTCTCCCCTTAGGGTTAGGGTGGGCTCATAGGCTTTACACGATTATCCAAGCCCCTGAAGTGAAGAGGTGGACAAGGGCGGCATCATGGTGCGCGAAGGCTCTGCAAGTTAACTCGCGTTGGGTTGGAAAGAGGCTTCTTTGGGTTTTGGGTGCCCACCCCTAAACCCTAAACCCTAAGATTTTTTGTTTGGGACGGGGGTTATGGGGGGGCTTCTTGATAGGGAGTTCCGCGCACAGGAAATGTGGTCCAGGACTTCGGGGGTGCTGTTTTTCGGGGTCCTATAAGCCTTAAACCCCAAACACGAAATCCTTCAGATCATTGTGGTCAAGCGTGTCCTGTAAGGCCCCCGAAGCCAAAGCCTAAAGTACGTTTGAGAGAAGGCCCCCGGGCGTGCTTCCGGATGTAGGGAACTTGCATCCTAAACCCTAAACCCTAAGCCCTAAACCCTAAACCCTATAAACCCTATAAACCCTATAAACCCTAAACCCTAAACCCTAGGAGGCGCTGGAAAGTACATATCCCTCCGAGTGTTTTGCAGGGGAGAGCACCAGCTCCACGCAGAAGCCGGACCGCTTGTCCACAGGCCTCGTAGGTTTAGGGTTTAGGGTTTAGGGTTTAGGGTTTAGGGTTTAGGGTTTAGGGTTTAGGGTTTAGGGTTCAGGGTTCAGGGTTCAGGGTTCAGGGTTCAGGGTTTAGGGTTTAGGGTTTAGGGTTTAGGGTTTTGGCTAGGGTTTTGGGTTTATTTGGCGGCTTAGGCGGCTTGGACTTGGAGAAGGGTCTAGGGGCCAGGGGGTTTTGGGTGTAGGTTCGTGTGAACGCTCATTCTGAGTGTCACAGTCTTGGATTCTAACTCTTTGGAGGTATTATGGATACAATTCTTGGTTGCAATTCCTAGTTGTGGTAGCTGTTGCTGTACGGAAGAGATCAACCTTGAATTGGGTTTGGAGTGGGTCTAAGTTTACATAGGGACTGCGGGACGTATCTTTGGGGTTCTGAGAACCCTGTTCCTGCGCCCGTTACGCGCCAGCTTATCCCATGAAGTAGCTGCTGCAAATCCTAAACCCCTGAAACCCTCAAACAATCCGCTTGTACCCTAACACCTAAAACCCTAACACCCTACTACCCTAGTACCCTAGTACCCTAACATATGCTCATATCCTAAAACCCCAAATATCCTAAAACCCTAAGACCCTGGAACCCTGGAACCCTAAACCCTTTGCAGAGGTTGCCTTGTATAGGTTGGAAGGGTGAAACACCCGCAAACATTTTGGCTCAAGATGGCCAAGAGCCGTCAGCTTTTGTGGAAAAAGTCCGTGTGGTTGGGGTTGGGTTTCACGGGTTGGAGTAGTCCCGTCCCTTCTCCCTTATCCTGTCCCCTCAGGGTTGGGTGTTCTTGTTTCTGGTTCGATCTGGGAAATTCACATCATAGGCAGCTGTTAAGGGTTGGTTCTTTTCCCTTTTCCCTTTCGGTTGCCCCCCGTAGGTTATGAGCCCAAACGGTTCCCTGCGGTGAGGTGTTTTGTTCAAGGGTTTGGGTTTGAGAAGCAATGCCTTCCCCCAAGTGATGGCTTCAGCCTTCCTCGAGTGGTGGTAAAAGTGGTGGAGCTGATAGTGGTGCAACTGATTCTCTGGATAATGAGGCGGTGCTAGACGAAGTGATGCCTGGTGCTGCGGAAGAACAGCTGGAGAGAATAACGGTTGCTGGAGGCCCCAATGAGGGTGCGGATCCCAATGCCATGGTTGACAATGCTGAAGGTGAAGGACGAGCTGTTTCTGGATCACCAAAGCCTGGGGAAAAGAGGAACTGGGATGAAACTGGTGGTCTAGACCGTGAACTAGGAGCGACTGTTTTACGCGTGTTGCTGAGGCATGGGTATCAGCTGTCTACTTCAACTTCGGGTCGAATGGTCGACCAGGAGGTTCAGACCAATCTGAGTGGTGCGGTGTTGCAAGCATCCAGAAACCCTCTTAACAAGATTAAGGGAGGTTCCTCGGCGAGTTCTATGCGCGATGAAGGCGGTGATGTACAGGGGAAAAAGGGTGTGGACAGTTCTGAAGCTGCACCTACTGCTGAATACGCCATGGACGAGGAAGAGATCTTGGAGATGGAGGTAGAAAGGATGCGACAGTTGTCCGAAGAAGCTGAAGAGATGCTTCAAGTCTCGGAAGAGAATGATGTTCAGGAAGAAGGGCATCCTATCGAGGCAAGTGATGGGACAACTTGGGAGCGACATTTCCACAAAGATGGGAGGCCATATTTTTACTGCCTGGATACGGGAGAAACTAGGTGGACACTGCCGGAGGAAGGTGAAAAGATGGAAAGTGCCAAGGTGGTTGAGTCTCTTTCGGGCAATGAACTGGAGTTGGAGACTGCACTGGGTCCTTCATCGTCTACTCCGACAGCTGAGTCTACAAGGGCGTTCCAAGGTAGTGTAGATAGTATAGTAGAAAAAGATTTTTCCTCCACCATCGGGGATAGCGGTCTAAAGGGCGGTAAAGCTGTTAAGACCTCGGGCTCCCCAAGGGAGGATAGAATTTCTGGAACACAAAAAGACATGGCTGGAGAACACCTGGATCGGAAAAGGAGCAAAGCGCTTTCTGAGGGTGACGCAGCGGTGAAATCTGTGGATCCGGAGGATAAAATTCCCAATGTGGAGGTGAATGCTGTGTCGGCTACAGAGGAGCAGGTGGTGGATGAGGTATCTGGCATTCAGGAGGTTGGTCCTGGAGATGAGGATGATGGAGGTCAAAAGTTGTGTATTACGACTGAGGAGGTTTCTCCGTCTGGTGCCATGGATTCCGCCATTCAAGGAAAAAATGAGGCTTCTGGAATAGCTGGAGACG